GTTTTCATATCAAATTTGAATTTCATATCAAAGTTTGGGAGATGTAGCTATAGAAATACTTAGAAGAAATTTATAACCTTAAATGTTTACATTAAAAAGGGACCAAAATCCATGACCAAACTTCTACCTTAAGAGCAAAGAGGAAATTAACCCAAAGTAAACAGAAGTTACAAAACAATTAGAACAGAAATCAATGAAATAAAAAGTGAAAAAATAAAAAAAAATTATCAAAACTAAAAACCTGTTCTTTGAAAAATACAACCATGCATCTTTTAATAATGGGGATACACTCTGAGAAATGCATTATTAGGCAATTGCATTGTTGCACAAACATAGAATGTATGTAACACAGACCTAGATGGTATAACCTTACTACACGCCTAGGCTTTATGGCATTGCCTATTGCTCCTAGGCTACAAACCTGTACAGCATGTTACTGTACTGAATACTATAGGCAATTGTAACACAGTAGTATTTGTGTATCTAAACACAGAAAAGGTACAGTAAAAATACAGTATAAAAGATAAAATGGCATACCTGTATAAAGCACTTACCATAAATGGAACTTGCAGGGTTGTATGTTGCTCTGGGTGAGTGGGTGGTGAATGTGTAGGCCTAGGACATTATTGTACACTACTGTAGACTCTATATAAACATCTTACACTTACGCTACACTAAATTGATCTTGTCATGTGGTAAGGTGTTCAGGGACAATAATATGCATGGAGCTGTCATCATCTATGATAACAATGCCTTCCTTCTTGAATACCTCATGAAGGAAATGCCTGAAGCTGTTTTACAATTAATTTTTTTAGTTAGGAGTGCACTCTAATGATATAAACTACAGTAAAAACACAAACCCATAACATGGTTGTTCATTGTCATTATCAACTATTATGTACTGTAAATAATTGTGCTATATATATGACTGTCACCACAAATACAAGTGTTGCATTGCACTATGTTGTTACAACAGCTACATCACCACCAGGTGGCAGGAATTTTTCAGTTCTATTATAATTTTATGGAACTACTGTTGCACATGCAGTCTTGTTGACACAAGTGTCATTATGTGGAGCATGACTGTGTATAAGTGAATAAATCTTTAGCAAGACTTATATGTGTGTGAGAGAGACAGAGAGAGAGAAGGAGCAACCATCACAGACTCTACAGACCTTAAAATGTTATTGGGGGAACATTATGAACAACTTTATTTCAATAAATTTGACAGCCTAGATGAAATGGACAGCACCTTGAAAGACAAGGTACCAAGGCTCATTAAAAAAAAAAAAAAAAGCAAGCATAAAATCCAAAATAGCCCTATATCTGTTAAAGAAACTGAATTTGTTGTTTAAAACCTTTCTGCAAAGAAAGCTCCAGGCCCAATTTAGTTCACTGATAAATTCTATGAAATATTTAAGAAAAACAAATACCAATGCTACACAAACTCTTTCAGAATAAATAGGTGGAAAAAAACTTCCCAACTCATTTCACATGAGGCCTGTATTAAAATGATTCCAAAACGAGATAAAAGCATTACAAGAAAACTACAGAATATATCTTATGAACATAAATGCAAAACCCTTAAAATATTAGCAAATTGAAGGTAGCAACATATAAAAAGGATACTATATGATGATCAAGTGGGATTCATCCAGAAATATAAGGTTGGCTGAATATAAAACCAAGAAAAGTAATTTTTTAAAGTCCTATAATAACTTCAATGTATGGAGAAAGAGTATGACAAAATTCAACATACATGCATGAAAAAAACCCTGAGAAACTAGGAATAGGAGGGAATTTCCTCAACCTGATAAAAGGCATCTGAAAAGCTACAGTTAATATCATAATTATGAAAGACTGAATATTTTCCCCATATAGTTAGGAACAAGTTTTTCTACTCTCACATTTCTATAATATTATATAATACTAGAGAGCCTACACTGTGTGGTAAGGGTTGGAGGAAAGGAAGATAGATTGAAAAGAAGGAAGTAAAACTGTCTTTACTCTCAGATGGTATGACGGTCTATGCAGAAAATCCAAACTCTACAAAATAGCTGCTAGAATGATTTGAATTACAGAACTGAATTTATCAAGTACCATGACTCAAGGTCACAGGATACAAGGTCAACATACCAAAAAAAAAATCCAATTGATTTTCTATTAGCAATGACTAGAAATTTTAAATACCATTTATAATCGCTAAAAAATATGAAAGGTATAAAGGATAAGTTTAACAAAATATATGCAAGCTTTATGCACTGAAAACTATAAAACATTGCTGAGAGAATGTAAAGACCTAAATAAATGAAGATATACCATGTTTTTGAATCAGCAGACTTGATATTGTTAAGATGTCATTTTTCCCCCAAACTTATCTATAGATCCAATGTGATTCTAAAAAGATCACAATCTTATTTCTGGCAGAAACTGACAAGTTGATTTGTATCAAATTAAACGTATCTGCAAATGCAAACCTAGAATATCCAAAGCATTTTTGAAAAAATAACAAAGTTGCAAGACTTAACTAGTCATGGGCTGCATTATGACTTAGGGTCAACAATAGACCACCTGTATGATGGTGGTCCCACAAGATTATAACACTGTATTTTTTCCCTACCTTTTCTGTTTAGATACACAAATACCCCATTGTGTTACAACTGCCTATGGCATTCAGTGCAATAACATGCTATAATGGTTTGTAGCCTATGAGCAATAGGCTATACCATATAGCATAGGTGTGTAGTAGGCTATATACCATCTAGGTTTGTGCAACTGCATTCTAGGATGATCATACAATTATAAAATCACCTAACAACACACTTCTCAGATAATATCTGTTATTGACACAAAACTATATATGACTAAGATATTATAAAGCTACAGTAATAGATAGTACAGCATTGGTAAAAACAGACATGTAGATAAAAGGACCTGAACAGAGTCTCAAAATAGAATTACAGATGTGTGAGGTCAATAGATTTGATAGAGGTGCCAAAATAATAAGGAATAACTGTCTATATGCAGAAAAATTTGATCTGTGCCTGGTACCTTATGCAAATCTGGCTTGAAATGGATAATATACGTAAATATAAGAACTGAAAACATAAAACTTCAAGAAAACGTAGGAGAAAATCTTTGTAACTTCAGATTAAAATCCATTAGATAGGCAAGAATAAAAGAAAAATATGGACCAGGCATGGTGGCTCATGCCTGTAATCCCAGCACTTTCGGACGCTGAGGCAGGTGGATCCCGAGGTCAGGAGTTCAAGACCAGCCTGACCAACATGGTGAAACTCTGTCTCTAATAAAAATACAAAAATTAGCCAGGCATGGTGGCAGACGCCTGTAATCCTAGCTACTTAGGAGGCTGAGGCAGGAGAATCACTTGAGCCCGGGAGGCAGAAGTTGCAGTGAGCCAAGATCACACCATTGCACTCCAGCCTGGGCGACAAAGCGAGACTCCCTATCACCAAAAAAAAAAAGAAAAGAAAAGAAAGAAAAATATGAATAAATTAGACTGTATCAAAATTAAAGACTTCCACAACACACAGGATCAAGGAAATGAAGAAGCAAACATAGGCCAGGAGAAAATATTTGCAAAACATGTCTCTGATAAGGACTTATATCTAGAATATATAAATTTTTCCAATTCAATACAATGACAACACAGTTTTATAAAACTGGCAAAATATTTGAATAGACACTTCAAAAAGGTAAATGCAAATGGCAAACACGCATGTGAAAAGATGTTCAACATTATCATTATATTATTATGATCCAACTTAAAACCATGAGATAGCACTACACACCCACTCAAATGGCTAATATTTTTAAAACTGACAATCCCAAATGTTAACAAAGATGTGTAACAACTACAACTCTCATACATATTTCATGGGAAAGGAAAGTCATACAGCCACTTTGGAAAACAGTGGCAATTTCTTATTAACATACACTTACTATATATGATGCAGTAATCCAACTCCTAGGTATTTACACAAGAGAAATGAACTATGTCCATACAAGATGTATGCAAATATTGATAGCGGCTTTATAAGTAAAGGACCAAAGAGGAAATAACCCAAATGTCATCTAATGGGGAAGGGATAACAAATTTAGGTGTATCTGTATAATGGACTAATACCAAACAAGAAAAAGGAACAAATTACTGATATATACATCTTGGATGAACCTCAGAAGTATTCTACTAAGTTAAAAAAGCCAAACACAAAAGCTTAGATACTGTTTGATTCCATTTATACGAAATTCCTGGAAAGTCAAAATCATAGAAAGCAGTGGTAGTCTGTGGCTGCAGTTGGGGAAAAAAAACTACAAAAGTGGCATGAAGGAGCTTTTTTGGGGGTAATGGAAACGTTCTGTTTTTTATTTTGATGGTGATTACATAATTATATATTAATCAAAACTCAAACTGTACGGTTAAAATGAGTAAATTTTACTACATGTAAATTATGTTACTAAAGCTAATTTTAGTAGAAATCAGGCATTTTCATGTTTTGAACTTAATGTCCATGTACTAGTTCTGAGCTCTAACTTAAGTTGTTAACATGATGATTTAGCCAGGCATTTATCGGTTATATTCTAATAGATTTTATTCAAAGTCCTTCAGCATTTATAGTCACAGAAAAATACCAGGATTATTATGCTCAGGAGCAGCCATTCAGAAGATATTCATGAGGTAAATTACAAATATGCTTCTGTAACTTTGGTGAGGAACTGGAACCAGAGATACAGGTTTGGGAGTTGGGAGTCATTTGCAGAAAATAGTGGAAACCGTGGAGTTGATACAATTGTACTCTTCTTTCACTCCACTTCTCACTGCTTACTAATCTACAGAACCATAGGAAATGCTTAGTCAAATTTGAAATAACTGAATGACTTCAGTTTTTAAAAGGTCAACTTTTCTATCAGATCAAAGTGTTAACACCACTGAATTTAAAAACATCATATATTTATATCTCCAAACTCTTATCTCTCACCTGGTTTAATTTTTCAGTATGATTCAGCCTTGAAGTCTCCACTACATTTAACTTGGAAGTCTTTTCCATGCTCATTATTTGCTTCTGTGGTTCCATGTTTGAAGTGGGTTGTGAAAAGCATGCCTTTGCTACCGGAAAGCCTGCGGAGTATGACCCTTGTTTCATTCTAAATGGCTGGGTAAAAATTTTACCTTTTGTGAGTAATAGAAGAAGAGAGAAAAATTGTCACTAGCACCTTCTATTTCATTTTCTGGTGGCTACATATAGAGGCTACTGTGAGCTAATTGCCTTCAACTTAGAAGTAAAAATCAATAAAAGAAAGCTTACAATTTTATATCAAGCCAAAACTTACATATAGTATAAGTTATTAGTCATCCATAGAGGAAGACAGAGGTCATAACTGTTACCAAAAAGGTTGGGGCTATCTAAAAGTCCACTTAAGGTCACCTGAATATAATTACAGAGAGGTGGGATTCAATACGTAAAAAGCTGTATCCTATTTAGGAGACAAAAAAGTCTCCAAGGAGCCTGCTTAGCACTATGCTTTTCAAACTGGAAAACCACTAGTAGTACCACAGTTCTGGGAGGATGAAAAGCTACAGAATAAAGTATAAATTCTTCAAGATTTGTAGGAAGGGGGAATACCATTGGAGAGGTGTATTCTGTTGTATGACATGAAAGATACATCACCAGACTTCACCACAGCCTAGCTCTTTCTTTACCCTAAGGCCAAGTTCATAAACAAAACAAAACAAAACAAAAACCCACCAGTTGACTTCAAGATATCCTGACGATAGAAGTAGGAACCATGGATGGAGAACATGAACAAAATCACTGGAAAGGAATATTCATCCCCCACTACTCAATAAATTGGTAAAGTGCTTTCTACAACTCAACCTCTTGCACGTTTAATAGTATGAGTTAGTCCTTCCAAGTTTTAGGACTTCAAGAATACTGATAAAGTTGAGGGCTAGACTTGAAACACTTACTGGCCTCCAGAGCCTTCCCTATCCAAGTATATCCTCATATCCTCAAACTACATCACCCAGCACAGTGTAAATATTGGTTTATAAATATGCGACACATCCTCATGGTTCACCTACGTTAATCTAAATACAGATTTTAGAGAAAAAGAAAATCACTGAAATAGGCACAGAATGCTCCCAAGTAGGCTCCGGCTATGCTCAGTGTAGAAACCATATATTGTCAAGGAAGATACTATACAGATGGTCACATTGGTCTCTTGAGCCTTTAATGTACACAGCAGCTGGGCAGAAACTCACTGCATGGGCAGCAATAACAGCTGGGTATCTAACTCTAGCTGTACCACTTTTCCAGCCATGTGGCTTTGGAAAAGCCATTTAATTTTCCTGAGCTTTGATTTCCTTATCTATAAGACATGGTTACTTACCCTACCTAGTACGGTAATGAGAATGCAAGGTAAAATGCTATACAGATAAGGTGGTTATTATTACACCACAAAAATTACCAAAGTGTCCCCTAGGATAAGCCCCAGTGATGGCAAAGATTAGCAGGGTTAAGGCTAATCATTTAAATATTTTAACTTTTCATTTTCCATATAGCTTATTTACATGAGCACATTCATGTAAAGTTCACTTACAGTGTTATAGAGAGAGGTGATCTTGTAGTTTTTAAAATAACAACAGCTACCACTTATTATCAGCTTACTAAATGCCAGAGACTTTACAGAACTCACCTCATGTAAGGTCCTCAACACAACCCCGAGAGGCAAACATTGTTATTTCTATTTTAAAGATGAGGAAACTAAGGTTTAAGTAGATTTAAGTAGATTGAACAGTTTGCCCGGGACCACTGAGCTAGCAAGTAGTAGAGCCAGGCTACAACTCTAACAAACTCATGGACCTTAGCCATTACACACCCCTTTATGTGCCAGGACTGCTCCAACACTTGCTCACATGCATACCTGCTGGACATCCTCTCTGCTTTTCCTCTGTTACATTCTTCTTTAGCATCAACAAAGAACCTGCTCTGGTCTGCTCTACAGAAATGACATCTGAAGCTGCATTCAGCACTTCAAACATAGAGAGAAATCCATATTGCATGTACTGGAATGATCGTCCAAATCTTTTGGCAAATGCCTTTTCAAAATCAGAAAGGAGAACAGGAGATAACGCCAACAGGTCCTTCAACTCACTCTTCACAACAGCTGGAAGAATAGGGGCAACCCTTCCTCGGTAAGGTACTCGCCGATGAGATCTTGGTCCAGAATAAACACTAGGTCTTCCCTTATGCATGGAGTTTCGAACCTTATGGCTGCTCCTCTGTTTTGCAACTAAACTTGCTATTCCTTTGGTAGATTCATCTGGAATGGCTAAGGAGATGTGAAGAAAAGAAATCATATTTAGGTAGAAAACTTACTCCCTTTTTTATCCTTCGTATCTGTGTTTATAGTTTTTAACTCTCCAAGGAGCTGTTTATCCAGGCAGCACGATAAACAGTAACTCTTGATTCCTCGATTTCTTGCATTTTAGGCAACAGCTTGCTAGCTCTTCTACCAGCTGAAGAAAAGATAATGTGTTATTACTACAACTAATTGACTCCTGACAGATCTGAAACCCTTGGGATGAAGTGCAAACTTCCCTACAACAGTTTTTTCTTGTGCTTCACGGAATTTAAAACATGTTTTTATAATTAAGAAGTTCTTTTTTTATTTCTCCCGACTTAAGGTCCAATAACCTGAAATCACATGTAAAAGTGTAGTTTTTGTGAGTGCACGATTGTCTGGGGAATGGTTCATTTTGCAGAGGTTCTAACTTTGCCCACAACCTCAAAAGCACCTATGAGTCTCCCTCCCCCGCCAAATTAAAATCCACTGGCTGGGATACATAAATAACTGCAGAACTAGAATAATTATTTACTAAGCAATTGTTTTTATTACAAAGTTTACAGACCTTCAAAAATCTTAAACCTACCTTTCAGTATTACAGTACCACCTGCACCGTGGCAGACACTAACAACATCAGGCATGTCCAATACCAGCTCCATAGTGGACCGATACCCAAGGATTCGGAGTGGTAGATGGTTGCCAACCATCAAAAGGTACTCCTTCTCCAACTCCTGTGGGCTCAAACCATCCTTGGTGGAAATGAGAAGTGATCTTATTTCCTTCCGCAGACATTCCTGTATACGCTCTTGTTCAGACATTGTGTCCTACAGGACTGAAGACAGAAACGCAGCTCATGAGAAAAAGGGGGCAAACACATGAAAAAAGATTTTTTTTAAACAACCAACAGTGGGATACAAATAACTGAGACGCCTGTTTTAAGGGTAATAAGGCAGAAGCAGTACCCAGAGGGTGTCTTGCGGATTGCACGTGGCCGGGCGATTCAAGCCCTGAATCTCCACCTGCGCTGATTAAGCTACAGGTGTCAAGAACTCTGCCCCTGGCCATGGGGAGGCGTTAACTGGGGTTCCTGTCGGGTGTTCGACTCCAACGCAAACTTCCTATGCGAAGCCTTCAGGGGCTCCTCGGGAACCAGGACTAAGAACTGAGGCCAACGCAATGCCGCCTCCGCCCTGCAGCGCGAGGGCCCCACTGAAAGGCTCCCGCCGCACACCTCCGGCACCCCAAGCCGAGGGGGTGCTCCCCGCTCCCTCTTACCTGAAGGTATCGCCAATCTTCGCCCGCCGCCTACCTGGTCTAGGGTTGGGGTCCCTGCCCCTCCCCCAGCATCTCTCGGTGCCCCTCGCGGGAGCGGGGCGTGGCCCTTCCACCTGCCCTGGCGGCTCTCTGCAACCTGAGGTGAAAAGGAAGGCGAGAGGCGCCAGGTGAGGCGCCTTTCTCGGCCCGGCACCGCCCAGCTGCCCGTCACCCGTCTTGCCCCCACCGCGCCCTGACGCCAACACTGCCGTTGCCGGCCGGGTAGAGACTAGGGCGCCCTCTCGGAAGCGGCGCAGGAAGGTAGCTGCGACGGCCGCCCCGCGCGCCTGCGCACCGGCGCCCCCTGACTGGGAGGCCGATCCCGGGGCGCAGCGTTCCAGCCCCGAGGGCACGTGGCGGGTGGGACGGTTGGGCAGGATTAGCCGCTCGGGGGTCAGGTGTGAGGTCCGCCCCAGTCTCAGGAGCCGCTGGGCCGGGCTGCAGAGGCGGGCCGCCTTCCAGGATCCCAGGCGCCTACCTCCTCTGAAGTGGTGAGAAGGTGGGGCTACAGCACTTAGACCAATCCAACCACCTCCAGAGCGGGGGCCCGGCCGGGCGCAGGGAGGGAAGCGGACCGTGTGGGCCTCAGAATCACCTGCGGGACTATTTAAGAGGAGAAAAGGATGCACGGGTCTGATAAGCAGAGATTCTCATTCAATAGCTCTGGATTCATTTGAGGAAAATCACAGACAATTCTGATTCTTGGTGGAGAATCCCTGCAGAGCTCAATGCAACTCTGGCTCCCTGATGAAGGAATGAGTGGGGCTAGGAGACCTTTTTAAATGAGTGGACAACATTCTAGGTGCCACTGGAGATTTATCTGGATATATTTGTTGGTTTGGTAGAATGAGCCAGATTTACAAAGTCCTCGAAAACCAGAAAACAGTAGTTTAAGAGATACAGAATAGGGAGGCATTGTATAATAGAAAGGCTTGTACCTTAAAACGTACAGTCTAATTAAAGAAACAAGACAGACCAAAATAACCAAATAATTTGAACCAACAAAGAGGCTTGAGCACACACAACGACCTTATCTTCCTTCTTTTTTTTCCCCTATAAAATGTAAGGTTTAATATATGAGAGCAAGGAACACCTCGAAGGCTGTGCCAGCGCGTGTGGCTTCGTGTTTCTGTGCTACATGAGACTAGTGTCCTCGTCTTCCATCGTGACAACCCTTCTCTCTCCACCCCCCCCCCCCACAGTGCCAACAGGCTCTGGGCAAAGCTACCCCGTTTTCTTTTAACCTAAGGGATGCCATGGTTTGGCTGACTACGTTTGACTACCCCCACTGATGTCTGAAGTGGCCAGATACCGTGGCGATGGAAATCAGGCGAGGTACTGGCATGGAGGGTGGGGGTGCCGGGTCAAGGTCGTCTGGGTTCTCAGGAGCCAGTTTGTGCCACAGAACTATCGGCAGCTGCCTTTGTAAGGCACCTCGGGTTGGCATTCGGAAAAACCACCCCGTCTTGCCAGAGCCCCTTGGTCTTAGTTAGCAAAAGCCGTATCCGATCTAAATCACGCTTTCAATCATGAGAAATCACATTCCTTCTTTTCCCTTTCTAATGTATTCCAGTGTGTCTTTTTTTTTCTCAATTTTAATAAGCAAATTGTACCATCGTCTTATTCTGAGATGCTCCTTTTTAAAAGCTGTAGATCACATTAATGGAAGTGTTTACTGCTGGGAATATTTTCCATGTACAATGATCTGTAACCCTCTTAACTAGTTTAACTAGTTGCACATTATTAGTTCACATCCAGTTCAATTCATAAATTAAGAGAGGTGCCATTTGTCTGTAAAACAAATCAATATATATTTATGAACTTCTTTTATTCAAATATATTTTCACACATCTTAACTAAATACATAATACAGAAGCCCGTGTGGGTTGGGCAATGTGGCCCAGGAAGGCCTGAGACTAACACATCCACCTCGGCAAAAGGACAGAAAAGATCTCTTATGGTTGGGAAAAAATAGCCTTTTGTGTGTTTATTTAGTTTACAAAATATACTCAAAATGCTATTATTAGCTGAATTTGTGATTTCCTTTTGAATTTCTGAGTTATTCTTATTTTTCCCATTTTGTTTTTGTACCAAGGAGACCGCAGTCAAAAGAAAGTTACTCGGCAACTGATTTCCTTTGAACTGAAAAATTCAACAGATACTAAATTATGACAGTGATTCAGAAAGGAGGACTCCAGGGGCTTGAAAGAACATGTCTGGGATAATATGATGCTTCTAAGAGTATTGTGATCACAACGTGGTAAGCACCAGAGCATGCTGCATAACTACCTCCTTGGCTAATATGCTTTCTTCTTGGTGATGACCAATCATCTTCTATTAAACAGCAGTAATGCTGGAAGAACTCAACTACACAAGTGTAATGAAGCCAGTATTCTCCCTGGACAGATTACCTGCAACTGATTTGACACATACCATGATAAGGGCTTCAAACCTGACAAACTCTGTACTTGCTTCTGATTTATGGCATCAAGCTCCTCAGAGAAGAGATGGAATCCAAGTGTTCCATTTGGTAGAGGTGAAATGTACTGATGTGCTTAACTGCCAGTTAAGGAAAGTTGCCCCTTCTCCTTGTTCCTCACCTCCCCTCGCCCTCAGATCCACATCCCTTGTGCCACCAGGACAAGGGTCCTCTGCTGTGTGCTATCATCAAAGAGCCAAGGCCTGCCGCTCTCTCCTGCTTGTGGTTTAGGGGAGTTTATGCAAAGGAGCTGCTTCTGCAGTCTCCCAGCCGCCTCTTCACCCCTTGAGGATGTCCAGGTTTTGTGATTTTGTTTGGGGTGAGGGTGGGTGGGTGGGAGGAGGAACCACCAGGAAGAGGAGGGGATGCGACAGGACTCATGTGTTGCGACTTCCAAGTGAGTATGCTGCAATGCTGCCGCATCCCGGGTGTGGCGGGCAGGCAGGCACGGCTGTTCCTCAGATGATGGTGGCTACCCTCCCGCTGCTGTTGTTCCGGTTATTGTTTCTCCTGGACAGGTTAGGGGTAGCCATGAGCACTCAGCGCTCGTCGGGGCAGCCATACTCCAGCAGCACATTGATGCATTCCTGCCTGGAGGCCTGCCAGGTGTAGGCCAGCGCTGTGTTCCCATGGGCATCTCGGACCATGATGTCCACCCTGTACCAGATCAGGAGCTGCGCCAGGACCACATTTCCCTCGCGGCAGGTCAGATGCAGTACAGTGCAGCTATCTCTGTCTCCCTCCCCAAAGGTTTCTTTCACCTCGTCCCAGGAGCCGTGCACCAGCGGCAGGATGGCTGTCCACAGGTCCTCGTCTGTGGTGGCCCACAGCAGGTGCTGGCCCAGTGACAGCTCTGTGCAGGGTAGCGGGGCCAGGAAGAGCTTCTGCTCGTACTTGGCATGGATCCACTGTTCCTTCTTTTCCCTTGTGGAGTCTACTGAGGGTTTTGTCCACCCCTGGCTGCTCTCTTCCCAGACGTTGTTGAGTATCTCATTCCCAATGAATGACATCATCTCGATAAGCTCAACTGGCCAGTCATCCAGGTCCAGAGATCAGACTCAGGAAAGGTGGGTGCCAAGATTCCAGTGGATCACTAAGCACTTGATGCACACGAGCGCTCCCAAGTTCAAACTGGCCCAGTTAGGATTCTGGGTCTCACAGTCCACACAGTAGGAGTTCCCGTGCATGTGTCGGATTGACTGCAGGGCCATGGCCTCGCTCTGGTTCATCAGCTGGGACTTCTTCTTGCTGCTCTTGCACGACTGCAGGCTCGCCAGGCTGACCAGGATCTGGCACTTGATGGCTTGGACCCAGGTGTACCACTCCTCATTCGTCGTGGTTTCAAAGTGCCACGTTTGGCCAGTGAGGGACACAATGATAAACTCAAAGTTTTCTTGTTCTTTGGTAGTGTCAGACAGGCCATCAGCTTTGAAGTTGCTGGTGGTTTTCTGCCTACAGTGCTTCTTTCTGTTGGTGTGAGGGGAGGTGGGCTGGTGGTGCTGGAGTTACTGGGGTTGGAGCATACGGAGTCACCCAGCACCATGTCACTGCTGATGGCCAAGTTTGTAATGACTGTAGCCTCACTCCACTGGTTGACTGGAGACTGAGTAGGAGCGCTGGTGCATGCCATTTGGTTGGCTGTTGAAGAAGACCAGGCTGATGCTGCTTGCCATCTGAGACCCAGATGCACTAGTGACATTCCCTGAATTGAATGAGATGTGTAAACTCCTCATGTACTTGATAGGCCATTGGTTTTAGACCTGGAGATGGGCATGCAGGCCGACGTGGCTTAGGGTAGCCTCTTCCCTGGGACTTTCATGGTAGTTCTCAGAAGGTCAATCTCCTTACCATGAACATTCTGCATGTAATCATGTAAACTTGGATGATAGGTTCGCACACTATTGTCACACAGGGTGACATATTTCTTTTTCCATTCTTTATTCAACGATTTGCCACTTTGCTTCAACAGCATGCCCGGTATAATTGGCATGGCTCGGCTGCTCCTGATGCTGTACACACGACTCTCCAGGCCTTTCTTCTCTTTGGGTCGCTCCCTTTCTGAGAGGTGAACCGGTTGGACCCCCACTTGGACTGCTTAGGGGCATGGGCGTGTTGGCAGTGGGAGGAACATCCATCTGAAGTTCCTTCTGGCTGGTGCTGGGAGTCTGTGGAATGGAGGAGGAATAGTCACTTAAATTCCCACCTCCATTATTTATCTAGCTGATGTGCATGGGGGACACCTGTGCAGAACAGATGGCGGAATGGCTTGGAGAATTGGGCAGCGACTTGCGGGGTCCTATGGACAACTGCTGCTTCTTCCCTGTGGCAACAATCTTCTGGGCAACCTCCTGGAAGTCCCTCTCCACGTTCAGCCGGTACATAGCACACGTCTCGTAGTACGTGCACCGCTTCAGGCCATTGAAGCGCTTCCTTGCCCTGGCATCATCAATGACCCTCGGGTTAGTGAAACTTATGGCATCCTGGGTTCCCACCAGAACCAGAGGAGTCTGGCTCATGTTCCGATAGTTGGCCATCTGACTGCAGTAAACGTCTGGAAACTTATTTCATCCTCCAAGCTGAAGACAAATATAACTGCGTCCACCCACATGGCAAACTGCGCCTCCGGGGAGGGGTCCCCTTCCTCACTAATCAGCAGCAGATAGCTCTATCCATCAACAACAATCTCTTTCTTGAACCTGCCACCACTTTGAGCTCCGGGACGGACAGACTCAGCGTCCGTTCCTAGCTGTTCACAAAGGCATCTTCCATGGCAATGACGTGCTCCCAG